AAACCTAAATAAGTCTCTCAACAGCATTGCCATCCAGGAATGTTTTCCTTGAGATGTAAATACCAAGGAAGATAGCTCTCTAGTCTCCCTGCCATGGTGGGAGTGTAGCCTTGCTTGAAGCTGTAACTACAAGAAGATGGAGGTAATTAATACAGATGACACCCAATTACCAGGGGACTTTAGGAGCAATTACGAAAGCATGTACAGAAAATGATGCTGCCAAGTACTCCACAGGAGGACTAGCTACCATTTATCTTTTTTATTTTTTTAAAAGAGAATATATGTTTATTGCTTTTAGAGAGAGAAAGGGAGAACGAGACATTAATAAGAGAGAAACATTGATCAACTGCCTCCTGCACGTTCCCTACTAGGGATCAAGCCCACAACTGGGCATGTGCCCTGACCGGGAATTGAACCAGTGACCTCTTGGTGCACAGGGCAACATTCAGTCAATGGAGCCACACCAGCCAGGGCTCTACCATTTGTCTTGAGAACATGTATGTAATGATTGATATTTGCTTGGCCATATAGAGGGTGATATTTCTTTCTGCCTTTGCAATCTCATTAGCAGACTGATTGCCTGTGACACATATTACAGTCTGGTTTAACGCTTATTCAATAATAAAACTGTTCTTTCTTTTTTACATTTGTGGAGAGGATTTTCTGGGTTAGCAGGAGATTTTTAAAATACAGTTATCTGTAGGTGGTGGGTGTGAATGAGCTGACAGGACAGAGGAGGGGATAGACTTCTCTGATGTCTTTTTATATAGTGTTGCCTTTTGAACCTTCTTGATGGATGTAAGAACCATGTTAAAGGATATAAGAGAAAATTATCAAGGATGGAGGGAAAAGAAAACCCTAAAATTGAATACAAATTAGCAAATGAATCTAAAACCTAATACCAGTTAACAGCATATTCACAAAAAGAAAAAAAAAACTATAACTCCTATGACATATATTGTAAAAATGGAAAAAACTTCAAAAAAAGTTTGCTGTTCATAGTATTATTGGCTAGCAAACTGAGATATTCGGAAATTATTCTGTGCTTGCTGTAGGATTGAGTTATTAAATAAATACACTGACATTGTTCCAACTACAGTTCTCCCTGTGGGAGGAGACACAGGAGAGGAAGAATGCTCTCTTGTGGGAAGAACTGGAATTACAAGGTGTCAGTATCTATATATATAAAAGCCTAATATGCAAATTGTCCCCTCGGAAGTTCGACCGGGAGACCTGGAGTTTGATCTCTCACTATGAGGTGCGCTGACCACCAGGGAGCAGCACAGAATGAAGGAAGGCCCCGGCTGGCAGCTGGAAGGCCTTGATTGGCCCTAATCACCAGCCAGGCCTAGGGACTCCACCCATGCACGAATTTCATGCACCGGGCCTCTAGTCAATTCATGATTTAAAAAAAAGTGCATCCTTAGCTCTGTCCATTGAATAGTTCTAAAGCAATGACACCATTGACAACAAGGGACACAACAGATGTTGTTTTAAAATACTTTTCTCTAATAAAAGGAAGCCAAACTGCTTGGAAAAATGGCTGATTCTAGGACTAGGGTAGGAAAATGACAACTTGTTGAAAATACTAAAAAAACTGATGAGGGCATTTCAAAAGGACACGGGACCACCTTAAAGGGGCTCCCATTGGCCAAATTTGAGCATCTAAATAAATAATTAAGGAGGCTCCAGGAAGGGCTGGGTCAAAGATAAAAATATGATTGCTCTCTGTACTCTGACCTCAATGGCAAGTTATCTAATATCTGTGTTTTCAGACTCTCCATGTAAATACATACAGGCTCTCAGATGGCAAGGTGTTTTGCTAAAGACCTCTTTAGCAAAATATATAACCTTTAAAATAGAAACATAACCTCTTAAAAAACCCAAGACTCATTTTAAAACCATGATTTATAAAAACACATTTAGACTTGGATTGCCTAATAATAAACTTGGTGAACGTAGGGAATAGTGTTAGTTTACTAATCTGGCCTGTTGCTGTTTAAGTTGTGAGGTCATTGGTTTTTTGAGTTTTTTTTCTATTGATCCTTTCTTGTTCTTCCAAACTCTACAAGCTCTTGACAATTATTTTGGGGTGGGAGGAGGAAGTGGGTAAGAAAACAGTTTAGTTTGGCCTCCACGGCTGCTTCTGTTTCCAGACAAGGTCTGGGCCCGGAGAGGGTCTGCCTTGGGCCCGCTGGTAGTGTGGGGTTCTTGACTTCATGTAGGAAAGATTTCACAAAACGAGTCCAGGTGATCTTGAGAGCACGTTTATTAGAGTGCAACAAAGGGAAGGTTTCAGAAGAAGCAATGGGAGTCAGAGAAAATGGGGGCCTTGGAGACAGGTTCAGGAGGTAGGCCCGGGATGCGCTGCCGCTGCCCCCTAATCCCCTGGTTGTAAGTCTCGTGGGGACCCACAGAGTTTAGAAGAAATACAGCAGAGATACAAGGTGTGGGTGTGCTCTAGTGAGAGCCTGCTGTGGGTCCTTTGTCTTGAGGGCTTTTTTTCTTTCTTTGGCTGGTGGAAATCCTAGGGGAGAACTCAGGGGAAGGTCTTAACAGAATAATTAGCTTTTTAGGTGTGTCCTTTAATATGCTAATTTATCAAAATGTGTGCATAGAGGGGTCAGGGTTATTTTCTGGTTAGTTTTATTAAGTTTAAAAAAATATTTTTATTGATTTCAGAGAGGAAGGGAGAGGTAGAGATTGAAACATCGATGAGAGAGAATGATTGACTGGCTGCCTCCTGCACGCCCCCCACTAGGGATCAAGTTGGCAACCCAGCATGTGCCCTTGACTGGAATTGAATCCCGGACCATTCAGTCCACAGGCCGATGCTCCATCCACTGAGCCAAACTGACTAGGCTGGTTAGTTTTATTTTTAAAGAATGTCATGCCCTGGCCAGTGTGGCTCAGCTGGTTGGAGCATTGTCCTGCACACCAAAAGGTGGAGGGTTTGATTCTCAGTCAGGGCTCATATACAGGTTGTGTGTTTGATCCCCACTAGGGGAGTGTATGGGAGGCAATCTATGTTTCTTACTTCAATGTCTCTTTCCTTCCCTTTCCTCTTAAAAAAAAAAAAAAAATCAAGAATGTCATTAAACGGGGACTAAAACCAAGGCCTGTCTGGCCTGGGATGGTTTGGAATGGTTCTGTGATGTACACAATCCTTCTGCGACTTTCCTAGTTCCTTTTAGTTGGAGTTAGAAATAGCTATCTTTTTTCTATTTCCTTACAAATATATTGCCATAACCTACACCTTTAATTACCAAAGCCATATAGTTTTTTTCTAACTTAATTAGAATTCTTAATTCTTAGATACCTTAATTTTTAGTGACAACAAAAAGTAAGTAATTAGTATTTTTAGATTGGCAAATTTATGAATACATTTCATAACTCTTAGAAACAGGATTTGTTTTTGTTTTTTGCATTGGCAAATACTTATTTTTAAGAGGTATGAGAGATAACATGAACTTTTTCGGTAAACCCAGTCAAAACAAACATGTTTTATGCTAATAACTTTAAAAGATATTAACTTAAATGATCTATTTGGATTCTTAGTGATTACTGCATTTCTTTAGTGAGCTCAAAAATGAGCCATTTCATTGCCTAGTGTCCTTGATGCCTTTTACAAGGCTGAAGAGGCGGGGGAGATACCCAGGCTTGAGGTTATTTTTAATATATTAAAATAGCTGCTTGAGGTTTTTATTTTTAATATATTTTTATTGATTTCAGAGAGGAAGGGAAAGATAGAAACATCAATGGTGAATCATTGATCGGCTGCCTCCTGCATTGCCCACACCGGGGGTTGAGCCCAAAACCAACTAGGAATCAAACCATGACCTCCTGGTTCATAGGTCAATGCTCAACCATTGAGCCATACCAGCTGGACTGGTTAGCTTTATTTTTAAAGAAGGTTATTAAAGAGGAATCAGGACCAGGATGGTCTGCAATGTGTAAACCATTTGCTTCTAAGTGTCTTTGGTTAGGGGAGATAAAACCTTGTGACTCATTAGCTGGCTGTAAATTGCTCAAATTGTCTGGCCTTGTTTAATTATTTCATCTGTTCCTTTATTCCACTTGTCAAGAAATTTGCCTGGCTTCTTACTATCCCGCCACTTTCACCAGAATGCCTCTAGCCTTTCACATCCAAACTCATCATAAAGATGTTTCTCTGTATCAGCACTATGACTGCCATTCGAAGCCAAGATGTCTCCATGTTTGTTTATTTTTTGCTTCACAGACTTACTTCTAAGCACCTGTGCTGTGGGGAAGGGGAGAAACACAAGGCCCAGTGAGAGCCTGGCCTCTGTGTGATGGTTACCTCACCTGGGTGGGATGCGTCTATGGGTCTGTAAAATGAATGACCGGCACCATTTGTCCACTAAGATCCTTCTGTGCTACAAGCCATGATAATGCCCCAAATGAGATTACAGGATTTTAGGCTTTTGGCATTTAAAAAACCAGAAAAGTCAGAGGTTTGGATGAATGGGACAGAATATCAGATCTCAGGGGTGGGGGCAGTGGAAGGGGACAGGAAGAGATTAACCAAAGAACATATATGCATAACCTATGGACACAGGCAATAGTAGAGGGTGGGGGCTGGTTGAAGGGGGGCAAAAAGGGAGAAAATGGGAGACATCTGCAATACTGTCAACAATAAAAAAAGGCAAAGTCAGAATACTCCTCTCACTTGCTGTGTAGATTGTATCATAAGCTAAATTAAGTGTTAATGGAAACTAGAGAATAATCCTGCAATAAAAGCAGACTCTCGTGCCAGGCTGTGGCTCAGTGTGTGTGGAGAAGTTAAGTGGGTTGCGGGCAGCTCTCTAAGCATAATGAGGAGCGTACGAACCACAACCAGGGCTTTCTGCACTTCTTTCTCAGTGGGAAAAATACCCCTGCTATCTGAACTGGACGGACAGTTCTAGAATAGAGTCTATTTGAGAAAAGGTAGGATGAAATGTGTGACAACATATCAAAACTGACATATAAACACAGCATTTGAATGGAGAGAAAATTCACAGTATTTTATTCGTTAATCCGTTTCATTCAATAATGCACCATATTGTTCCCGGCACCCTTAATACTACTGTCATTATTTCCCTTGGAAAGGACCATGCTTTTACAAAATCTGAGTTGGATTTCCATTCATTAACTCTAAAATATTTTATCTTACCAAAAAGCAACCACTAATCAGCTAAGATGGAGGTGGTATGGGTAAGGTGTGTTAGTCAAAAGGTGGGAGCACAGGTATACCAACAGGCAAAGTTAGTACGTGGCTTAAACCAGGTGGCAGAGAGAGAGGTAGCTGGAAGTACTCTGCCAAATAGGTTAGTCTGCAGAATTGGAAAGATAAAACCTTTTCCTATTATCTACTCAAGTCCAACCAGAGAATATGAGATAATGACTGACTAGAGGGGCGTAACTTTCCAGAAAACAGAAAGGTGGAGTAAGCACACCATCCTCAGACAAGAGTGAGGCTGGATGTCAGTGCAGGGAAAGGGTTGGGTACCTTCTTTAAGTTTGCTTTTGGCGTTTTGGTCTGTAAGCGATCAAGATGGAGAGGGAGGCTATCCCAAAGAGGAACGTCTGCAGGAACCAGAGCAGTTGAGCCTGACCATTCGTGATGCCTTTAGACCTTAAAAGAAGAAGAAACAATTTTAATATTATGGTTTCATAGTTATTATCTTCTATTTTTTTTAAAATGTACTCTTCTATCTACTTTCATTGGGTTTATCTTGCCTTTTCTTCCAGCTTCTTACCTAGAATGGTTAGTTCATTTATTTTCATTTTCCTTGTGCAGTTAGGATGGTACACTCTTCCCTGAGAAGCAGCCTGGCTACTGCCTAGAGCTGTATCATAAAACTGTTTCTCACATGATTTTGATGAGTGGATGGGTTAAACAGCACTGTGATGGCATCAGAGCAAGTGTGTACCCAAGAAATATTTTTATTATTAAAACACAGTAGTAATAAAGTACTACATTTTCCACTTTTAGAAATAATACAGCAATAATAGAGGTGACTGTTAATCTTGACTAGAAAGAAAATCAACTGCAAAGCAATTTGGCATCACTATAACCACCTCTTTCATTACACCATCCTTTCTGTATACGCTACATGAAGTACAAATGTAAAGAGAATCTTTTCTAGTACTTTCACACAGTAGTAGTCTACACTGGCATCCACTGAGTGACGTTTAATCCAGGGGCTTTTAGCTTGCATTGCACCCCAGAATTATCTGTGGAGCTTGTAAAAATAACATTCCCAGGTCTGAAGCAAGGCTGAGCAAACCGGGATCTTGTGGGTCTGGAGACCAGGCTTGTGTATTTTGAAAAAGCTCCTCAGGTGACTCAGTTGTAAAACTAGGACTGAGAATCACCAGCCCTGGTCAGGGGCTAAGCTCTTTTTCAGGTGATCATACACAGACATTTCTATAAAAAAATAAGAAAAATCATCTAAATTAAGTAACTAAATAACTGATTAGCTATCACAAATGAAATAAATTCACTCATTAAATATTTATTGAGTACTCCCTTTGGGCTAGGCCCAGTATTAGGTGTGGGGATTCAACTCTACCCGGAGAATGCTCTCAGTCTACAAGTCCATGAATTATTTAAATGTGGCTCCTCTCAAATTAGATACCAAGAGCAAAGCAACAAATACCTACTACACACACTTACTTGCACAATACCATGGCATACAAGGACTCTCCCACGTGAATCAGCCAGGCAAGCCAGTACCTGGAACAGAAGTCAGCCAGGTTTAAGGTGATGGTTATCTGCGGATGAAATCTAACCCAGAAACCTTCATAAAAAAGAGTGCTTTACTGTGAACTAGCACCACTCAGATATCTAAAGGCCACTGCAGGCCTCCCAGTCTACAGTGGGACTAGCACTGCAGTGTCCCGTCCCACTGCCGCAGCCCTCCTCACCCATTGCGCAGGAGGGCGTGATGATGGTCCACCAGGTACTGAGTGAAGGGGCCCAGGGGCCCGAGGCTCTGGTAAGGAATACTCTGAGGCCAGAAGACAGCCCACTGAAAGAGAACCAGAGGCACAGAATACCTATCAGGTCACTGGAACCAGCAAGTGTTTATGCTTGAGAGAGGCTAGGAAATAATCCTGATTCTACAGTACGAGCAGACCAAAGAAACTGAACTAAGACATCTGAGGCGCCACTCCTGACTTCTATTTTCTAAACGCTCTTCTAGTGGGAGATTTATTCTGAGGAAACTATGTGGGTATCAGACTCAGTGCTCAGGCTGGGTGGCTTCTATTCTTAAGGAATTCCATTAAAACATGATTTTATGCAGGTTATTAACAAATTTTAAGAGTTTATGTGCCCTGACTAGTTTCTTTGCTGCAGAAACTATGGCTTGAGGCAGATCTCCATTTAATTTATAATCCCATCGCCTCCTTTCACTTTCTCTATATCTAAAACTGGGACTGATCCACTGCACAGAATTGGAAAATAAGTGAGATCAGGTTTGTGACGTGCTAATAGCAACCACTTAATCACATAAGGTTTTTGTAATCGTAACCATTTTCCCTCAGTCTCTGTGTTGTAACCTCTGTCGCCTTAGGCTTTTGAGAATAATTAAGTCCCAATAGGTCCAAATTTATTGTCCCATTCATATTCAGCCAAGAGCAGTACTACCTCTCCAGTTATGTTGTTACACACCTAAAATTTAAATAAAGCATAAAACATCACTCCATTCTCCCAAACCAAGGGGAATAGGAGGGGCAGCATCTATCCACAATAACCCAATTTGAGGCCATCAAAGCTTTATCTATGTTCTAATTAATCAGAGATGCAGAATCATAGGACAGAAATGCGCCTTTGAAAATTTTCAGTTCATATGGGGAAATCAGGATAAAGGTGGTCCGGTTTCACAACACACACTGTGGACACAACAGACACACTTTTAATCCCCAATCTCCAGGATTTACCGGGCAATATCCAAATAGTTTTGCCTCCATTCAAAATTACACCAACTCAGTCCCCAACTTACTTTTCCAGAAGTTTTCCCCGTTATCTTTTATAAACGAACTGTCAAAACAAAAATCGCCCCCCTTCTCATCAGAGATCATCTGCCTTGGTTCCACATCTAACCATAACATTTACATCCTCTCTATCCCTTCTTACCAATTAAGTGTCAACCATCCTTTAACTTTATCTCCGTTTTCTAAGCAACTTTAACTGCCCCAACATTCTGCTTCGGAAACCCTACTCTGACTTGGCAGGCCGTAAACTGGCTTCCTGGGTGAGATCTGAGACTCCGATAAATCGTAGAAACCTTGGAGCAGAGGGAACGCAACCGCAGGAACCCTTATGAGTAGAAACAGACCTGTGACCCAATAACTTCCGCTTACTCCAGTAACCTAGGCAACCTCCCGGAGCGCAGACGCAGAACCACGCTCCCTCCGAGCCCCTTGCCCTATGAGGGCCCGCCGGGCGGAAGCAGGTGCCCCGCCCCTCCACGCCTCACCGCGAAATATCCCAGCGCCAGGGCTGTGGCCAGCGAGGGCAAGGGTCTGGCTGCGCGGAAGTAGGCGGTGGCCGCCCTGCCGCCCTCCGACTTCGCCACCACCATCTTGACACTGAGCCGTGGTGTGGAGAGCCGTCCCGCCCCCGCCCCATACCGGGAAAGCCTGCGTAGCCGGTCTCAGGGCCGAGAGCGCCGGCGGGAGGCGCGGGCCGACCAGTGCGCCTGCGTCTCGTTCCGGGCTGGTCTCTGCCGCGGTTCCGAGAGCAGCGGCGCCCAATTGCGCCTGCGCGACCGCCTGCCCCTCCCGCAGGCGCGGGCCCCGCGTTCAATGGGGCGTTCGTTCGCTCCCCTCGCTGCCTTTACCGTGTAATAGCCAAAGGAGAGGGTGATGACCGTGAACCAGAACAGACTGCCCCTCTGGAAGTAAGCCTCGTCGCCTGCCGCCTTCCCCATCGCGGCAGCGCGCCCCCGGGAGCGCTCAGGCCCCGCTCGCTCGGAGGCGGGGGCGGGGCCGGGGCGGAGGCGGGGCCGGGGGCGGGGCCTCGGCCAGCGCCCCTCCCTCCTCCCTCTCGGGAGGGAGCAGATTCTGTGGGTGCCGAAACGCCAAGGGCGGCTGTTGCTGGATTCTAGCCTGATGGCTGGACCTCATCTGCAGGGTAGACCCCTCTCTCAGAGTCACTTTCCCGCGTTTAAGATAAAGTGTGGAACTAGGGTGGTGCTTTACGTAGAAGTCTACTAACCAGGAGCCTCATATTGGAACTTCAGCTCGGCGTGCCCTGTGGGAAGCAATGCTCTTCCTTGTCGTTCGGTGTCTGAAACCTCAGGGCACAGCAGCTATGAGCAGGCTGTGGAGTAGGTTGCCTGGGTTTAAGCCGCGGCTCTGCCACTGACTTTCTGCGGAAGCTTAGACTAGTTACCTAACCCTTCTGTGCCTCCATTTAACTTCTAACTCGCCCTCTCCACAGGTGATGGGGTGGCTAGAATTTCATCCTCCAGGATCCTGTGTCGCCATCCCCATCATAACTCTCATCTCTCGCCCCATGATCATTTAGCTCTCTCCTCTCTGGATGGATCAATGACCTAAACATTGAAAACAATGCGGGAAATATGGAGAACAGTTTTACAACTTTTGAGCAAGTTGTTAAAATTAAAAGCCGTAGAGGGAAAGATTGAAAATTTAACGGCATCTAAATTTTAAAACTTCATTCTCATGGAAGGCACCATAAAGTTGAAAGACCTGGGAGAAGGAATATATATATATTAGACAGATGAGTGAAGGATATGAATGGGACCTCCTTAACAGAGAAAACACGAATGGCCAAGAAACACGAAAAGGTGTTCAACTGTAGGGCAATTTGGGATGTGCAAAACAAAGCAAAAATAAGATACCGTCTACTCTCCCCCTCCCCAATAGGCTTGGCCTACAAGGTATCAAGACACACTATAAAGAACTATAGTAAAAAGCATCTGGTATTTGACACACAAGTTAGTGGAAAATGATACTCCAGAGATAGATCTGACATTTATTTTAGGATAAAGCTGACATTTCAAATTAAGGATGATAGAAAGATTATTCATTAAACTATTTTTGGATGATTGGTTATCTATTTGGGAAAAATATTTAAGACTCTACCCTCAACCCAACAGAAAAATGCAAATAATGCAGTAACATGAGTACAGAGATAATAGTCCCTCTAGGGAAGTTATGATGATGTAGAGTGGGATGAGCATGTGCCGATACAGAAAAAAAAAACACCCCACATTTTCCTAGGATCATGGAAGGCGAGAGCAATCTAAGCAAACTTACAGAAATATGGATAGCAGTGTGTGTCCAGAGAATTAGCAATTTATTGTTGCAAGAGGGAAAATGTGCATTTGAGGGGAGGCTGAAAAGGCAGTGGTAGGGTCCTGGTCATTAATGGCATTCGTTGTCAAACTGAGGAGTTTTGATTTGATCCCTTAGCCAAGGTGAGTCAGTGACAAGTGTTTTTTGGTTTTGGTTTTGTTTTACATCAGTGGAGTGAAAATGTTTGGTGTTCATTGGATGGAAGTAAAATTGGAAGCAAGGAAGATGAAGGGTTGATAAAGTAAAATTATGGGAGTGGAGAAAAGGTTACGTTATGCATTCAGATATTCAAAAAATATTCCCAAGGATCTGTTTAGGGTCAGGCTTGTTGCTAGGCTATAGAGATAAACAAGATTAAATGAATGAGATCAATTCGGTCTAGGTGTCAGGGTGACAAGCAAACCAATAGGGATTTACTAGAGGCAGCATAACAATGTTTTAATACATTGACCACTTTGACCTTCAAGTATGAGATCTTGCATTTAGCGGTTACAGAGAAAAATATCCTCAGGGCATTAAATCAACACATGAATGAAGGGGCAGAGGTAATCTGGTAGTGTGTGTGGTAAAACTAGTGTGTGCTTGCCTAAAATGTTCAAATTCAAATAATGATGATTAATGATGATGGTGATGGTGGTGATTAGGTTTTATGCAGGATATTGGCCTATGGAACACTGATTTTTTAAAAATATGCCCTTTGAAGTGGTTAGTTTAGAGGAGGCATAAAGTACAATTTTAATAAATGTTAGCTATTCTTTTTACTACTGTTACGCTTTAATGAAATAAGTGCAGTGATAAGGGAGGATGAGGCAAGCAAATGGCTAAAATTCACTCTGAGAAAATACAATTGAATGAACAGGCAATTTACACAAAATCATCTCAACCAAACTCGATGTGCTCAAAGCCCATTTGCTGAATCGTCAGTTTTTGAAATTCATCAGATTTATGGAGTGTGGCTCTAATACTTTAATAGGGATGTTAAATAGCTTTGTCAGGCATGTTTACTCTTGGTCATGGAGCAACTTTCTGTTTATAGGAATATTTTGTGAATCCTTCAACGTGTCATTTCTTGTTTTGCTGACCTTTAGAATATTTAAAGGTGTGGGGGTTTTAGGCGTTTTCTCAGGTGGCGTTAGTTAGAATTGGATATGGCTGTGAGAAAGTAAGCCCTTATTTTTTCTCCCACAAATCCAGATGTTGACTTCCAGTACTGGGACTCCCACAGGGCCCTTCGGGGCCTGTTCCCAGTTTACTCCCACCCGGCATCCTCACTCCTGGTGAATAATGTTACTCTTTCTTGTGGAATATTGCTGCACATTGCTTACAATTTGACAGAGATCAACTTCTCATAATAAACAGTATTTCATGATAGGGTAGGAGTGGAAGGAAGTGAAAATGCTTAATAATTTCCCTTTGAACACATATATGAAGAGAGAAAAGAGTATCACCTGGAGGCAAATGTAACATCTTTGTAAAAATAAAAAAATAATAAACAAAGACAAAATGACCCAAATTTGGGTATGACAAACACAATATTGCTCTTCTCTGCATACAGCAATTGTGGAACACAGTAGAAGCTCAGAAATATTTATTGAATAAATGAATGGATGAAATACTGTGTCAAATATCTACATATATAGAAGAAAAATGTTACATTTTTTTAAATTAGAAAAACTTGAGGGACTAACCAGAGTTTTGGTCATTTAAGTTTAATTTTTAACATCACAAAAATAATGCGGTGCCAGGGTTCTTGTCCCAGCATCAAGAAGGGTTCAGGAATCTGGAGAAGGGGCTGTGCATGGATTTAATAGGAATCCAGAGACTAATAAAGAATCTGGAGACAAAATATAATTTTGAAAGGCATTGGGGGTCAGAGAGCTTACCTAAAGGAGCTAAGATCCAAGATCTTAAGTCTAAGGCAGTGGTTCTCAACCTGTGGGTCGCGACTCCTTTGGGGGTCGAACGATTCTTTCACAGGGGTTGCCTAAGACCATCAGAAAACACATATATAATTACATATTGTTTTTGTGATTAATCACTACGCTTTAATTATGTTCAATTTGTAACAATGGAATTGGGGGTCACCACAACATGAGGAACTGTATTAAAGGGTCGCGGCATGAGGAAGGTTGAGAACCACTGGTCTAAGGTCTTAGGTTCTCCTCGTCTCCAGGACCCCATGCTTTTTTAAAAACACAACTTGTCCTGAGGTGAGGCACAGATATACACTTCAAAGGGTCAGGGTTTGGTAAGGAGTCCATTGTCAGAATGGGGGAATTAGCCTACAGCTGTTCAGGTGTTTGGCCAGTAGGAGGCAATAACATGTAGATTAAGATGCCCTTTAACTGTCTGGCAGCCACAAACAGTTTCCTATTCAGGTTTGGGGAAATGCCTTTAGCCATCCCCAACAGGTGACTAATGTGTGACTCAACCCTGTGGAGTCCCCAAGTCTCATCAACCTTTTGATGAAACTCTTGAAATTATGACTTGCTGGAATTGGTCTCCGGCAATGCGGAAAATGAATTTTAAAAATTCTTGGGTCCCAAAAAAGTGGAGAATGTGTTTCCAGATTCTTGGAGTGAGGAGACCTGGGAGAAAAACACTTAAGGAAAACAAAGCTGCTCTATGGAACACCAAAGTCTTAAAGTCACTGGTTGCTGTTGCCTTTTTCTTTTTAAGTAGATGATCATTTTAATCAAATTGCATGTTCATCAACTTGCTTTTGACTTGTCTTTTTTTCTAAGGTGACCTGGAACTTGTCTTTGTAGCACCTGAAGCAGATGTATAGGCCAGGAAATATCTCAGCACCTGGAAATAGCCCCGCTTGATTAGAGAGCTGAGCCTTAGCAGGAGGCCACAGTTTCCAAGGTGAGGCTGAAAGGGAAGTAGTGGGCACGTCCTGAAACTCCCTCTTAGGCAAGGTGGTGAGTTCTGACTTCCCCTTGCTGATGATAATTGGGAGTGAAAGTTTACTGAATGTTCCGTTTGCTAAGAGCAGACTGCATTCACAGGGCTCAATACATACCTGGTTGTTATGCAAAGAGCCGAGGTCCAAGAAAACATCTTTTTCTTGCCGATTCCAAAGAAACAAGCCGGAGGACTGGCCATGAAGGAGAGTTTTATTATGACTTATGTGCCCACCAGTGGCGGCCGGCTGGTGAAGTTTTCCACAGCACAGGCTTTCCGAGGTCAGGGTTATATAGTGTTATATTGGAAATCAGCGAGCCAAACAGAGGACGCCTTAATCAATCAGTAAGCCAAATTTGGAGTCTTTATTTTGCCGGCGGTCTCAGAGGAGTTATCTCCAGAGTCTGAGCAAAGCAACATGGAGGAAGTTTTCCCTTTATAACCTCCCGGTTTCTTTGTAGGGTTTACAAAGAGCCCTATGTACTGGGAGATATTTTGCAGGAAGCTTGTAGCCTTGAGCACAGCACAATTCAGTAACCGTGAGCACAACATAATTCAGGAAACTAAAAGACACCTGGCATGGCAGTAACCAGGGACGGACCAGACCCTTACATCAGCAGAGCGGCCCACAAGGCCAGATAATTGAGCTTATTTTCCCTATTATTTGAGCAAGCATGTTTACAGAAGCCAAGAATAGCAGAGTTAATTCACAGAACAAAGGACCATCTATGTTTAGTGGAAAATGTCAAACAGTAG